TCCCGCCGAGTGCCGCGCGCCCGGTGCTCCCCCCGCCAAGCGCGCTCTCCCCGCAAGCGCCCGTGCGCCATGTGCCCGGGGCCAAGCCAGCCCCGAGCACCTGGCGGGCGCATTGAAATGCCCCCGCGGGCGCCATGGCGCCCGCGGGCACCATGTTGGGGACCACGGAGTTAGACAAACACCTTTCAAAAATGGTCTAGTCCCGCCGAGTGCCGCGCGCCCGGTGCTCCCCCCGCCAAGCGCGCTCTCCCCGCAAGCGCCCGTGCGCCATGTGCCCGGGGCCAAGCCAGCCCCGAGCACCTGGCGGGCGCATTGAAATGCCCCCGCGGGCGCCATGGCGCCCGCGGGCACCATGTTGGGGACCACGGAGTTAGACAAACACCTTTCAAAAATGGTCTAGAAAATATTTCATCTTCGCACAGCACAGGGCACCGACCTATTCAGATCCCTTCCAGCCCTACATTTCTGATTCCTTGTTTTTATTTTCTTTCTCCTCAAGAGGGGAGTTAAAAAAAAAAATCTAATTTATCACCCACAGCTTCCCAAAAATGGAATACCACATGAGATGAGCAGTTAAACAAAAGCATAATTCTTGTTCTAGGTCCCTTTTGAAAATGACAAATAAAAAGATCCCTTCCACTATGGGTAGAGTAAAATCCATTGGATCTGATGCGAACTGGGATCAGTTTCCGCTGCAAAACTGTTTCATAAATGGGGCTATCCCTAAATAACACGTCTGTCAAATGCATGAAAAATAAAAAACCCAAACCACCAGAAGCTCACCTCTCCAGAGGCTCTTCAAAAGCACTTCCCACATGTTTCCTATCAGCAATCAAATTGCCTCTCTGGCTGTCTCAGGGTCTAGCTATTCAGGTTCCTCCAGCCCCAAGGAGGGGGTGCATTTTCTGTAGTTTGAGCTGCTCCAGATTAAAGTGTCGTCTTCCTATGAGTCCCTAGTCCTGGGCCATTATTCTGCCCTTCCTGAATTGGATTGACTGCTATGCAACTGTAGTATGGTGTGGGGCCCAAAGTAGCCCATTCACCCCTTTCTGGGGTTATTGGTTTATAAATGCCAAAACCTACTTCCACTTCGGATTCTTCTCTGTAGTCCAGAGCTTTTGTCTGCGTCTAGGTAGCCTTCATACTGGATCACCCAGAATGCATTACACATCAGTTACAGGGAATGGTACAAATGATTTAAAGAAATGGTTGCCCAATTGTTTGTGTAGATGAAGAGCTGTCATTTTCATTCTGCACTGACATGGGTAATAACATAGTGGAAAAACACCTGCACCTAGTTTACTCTAACACTTCCGCCATTGCTGTACAAACAGTGCAAAAAGGCATAGTACTGATGTACTCGTTATGGCTACATGTGGAACTTGGATGAGGGCAGGAAAGGGAAGAGGCTCTGAAGTTATATAATCTGTGCACATCAGTGCTATGCAGTGTGTATTTTATTATAAAAAATAGCAATATCATACTCTTCTACTGAGATTGTTAATGATTTAACAGAGGAAGAATGTTTAACACAGTACTTATGCAAAGTATTTTTATTGAGCTCTCAATTCAAGGGCCTTAGAGGAAAAACTGTCTCATAAATCCATGTGCACATTAATGACTCGTACATGTAAATTCACTGAGTCCATTATTCCATTCCTCTGTTGATTTATATCCTTCTCTCTCCTCTTGGTAAGGTGTCCTGGCTATTTAAATCCTTTCTTGTTACTAATCCTTGCAGCTGTTCTCTGCAAGAGGCAGCTCTGCCAAATTGAGTGAGCTGAGCAGCCAGGAACAAATCCAATGAGCTTTACACATAATGTTACATAACTAGCTGCTAGGCTTTGCTATGATCATCACTGAGCTTTCCCGTTTCTCAAAGGTATTTCTGTACGTTACACATGGGATTCTTTCCATTACAATGGTAACCTATCCATTTTACGGAAAAAGAAAATAAACGTAAAATCTGTTGTTCTAACAGTCTGAAAGAATGCTAGAGTTCCGACCCATGTCATTGTTGTGCAGAAGGCTAACTTTTGAGATGTTACCAGAGTTTAATCTCAGGGCACCCTTTAAAATTTGGAAAAAGTGTGCATGTATGTGGGCCCACAAGTTTTGGATCTCTGGCTAAAGACCTGCTCTATATCTCATGTTGCCTCTGTAATACTAAATGTATTCTGAGTGTGTTGGTGATGGTATCAGTCTCTAGATACTGTGCTGTGTAACTACATAAAGAGTGCAGTACTGGGAGAGTATACATTTAAAGAACTACTAAAGCACAAAAAAATCCTGTAATCCTTTATTGCTTTTTCAAAGTGCATCCAATTTCTTTTGTTGGTTTTCATTCTCCCAGCCAAATGTTGAAAAGTCTAAGAAATATGCCTTTGAGTGTGAACCAACATGTCATTGTTAGTGTCTAACCCATATATCATTAGGATTTACAATTACTTTTGTGCTACCATAGTTGTTTATCTGCCACTTCTTCAAAAATGCGTTCAAGAACTTTATTCTTTGCTAACTGGCCAGTATGTAAAACCTGTGATTTAACTTTATGGAGACATTCCAAAACTCAACTGATGGAAAGAGGAAGAGGAGCTTATTTGGCTATTTATACCTTATGTTCCACTAATGACTAAGGACTTATTATTCAAGACACAGAATGTTCTTTTGGGAGAGAACCTCTGATCTCTGGCAGAGTAAGTGTCCTAGGAACATTGACGAGGACATAAGTATTGTCCAGCGCTCTTAACAGAAATAATTTTATAGTTAGTGTAATGTTATGCTGTATTTATATTTCCAACAGGAAAATTGTTCCATAGCTTTGTTTTGGGGTCTGGGATAAGAAATTCAAAAGATAACAGCCTTTAATAAAAAGGCTAACGCTTCATTGAATTCAGACTTCATATATTTTACTTCTTGATCTTAGACTTGCAGTTTCAGCAAACTTTTGAGATTAAATATTTCCATTTTATTCACATCCAAAACTGACAATTGGTATTAGACACAATTTGCAACTAGATTAGAAAGGATTTAAGACTGAAAAAATTATTCCTCAAGAAGCTTAAAGTTTGGAAACATTTAGAGGACAAAGTGAGATCGACCTTTCTATGTGCTGCATCATAAAGCTGACATACAGATCAGGACACGTGTGTGGGTTTTTTGGTTTGGTTGGGTTTTTTTTGTTTTTTTTATAGTGCTTCTCCTAATGGAAACTTAACCAGACTGCTTTGTGAACTTGCCATTGTGCAAAGGTATCCTAATACCAGATTGCAATATGAAACAGTCTCAAATGCAATAGTTACGATTTTTCAGATTGAAATAATTTGCCATGACCCTAGAAGTTTGTAATGTAGACAGTTTTGAGCATCGGTATGCAGGTCTAGAAATGTCCTCTTATGTGAAATGCAAAAGTATAGCATTGCATCCTGTTTCTACAATTGTTTGATTCATAGGGTTTAATTTGTGTTCCAAGATTGTTTCAAGGTTTCTTACTTTTATAGTGATTTCTCTCCATTTTAGCATGCTGTCTCCTCTGAAGAGGAAATATATGGCATCCCAGCAAAACTGCATTGGAAAAAAGCCACCATCTCCCTAGTAGTCTGGCACTAAAGAATCAATACATTGTACCGTGATTTTTAGAAGAGATAATGCAAGGCAAAATTTTACCAACTCTTCTCTGTTTTTATCTGCAGCAGTGACAGTAACTGGCTGTAACCTGGATAAGGTAAATATTCTCCCTAGTGCCTTGATAACTCCACTTATACCGACCAGTGTGATTAAGAATGAAGATGTAGCTCCAATGGAAGTTACAGCTGAAAAAAGATCTCCCACCATCTTCACAGTAAGTTAAATTGTGACCCTATTAGGCTGACTATCCAAGCTTTGGGCATGATACCATGTCAGACTGTTTTCTGGTAGTGTGTAGCAGAGGAGAGAAACAGGAGAGTGGTGAAAACTTCATGGTCCAAATCCAGTCAAGCCTGCACTGCAGACATGCACATAAAGCAGTGAGTGAGTCTCTTAAGTCATCAACAGCAGCTGTTACTCCTGTGTTTGTCCTCAGAGAAACTGATTGTGGAGGAGCACAAGTGTATACGTTATATTTGGAATTGGGGAAGGAAAAACACATAGATAGGAAAGAATATAAGAGGCCAGACTGAGTAAAGGAAAAAAATTATGACCCAGTGCCAGGGGAAGGAGATGGTTATCAGTCGATTACTTAAGAAAAAAATTGGGTAGCCCTGACCAATGGCTTGTTTGGAATGCCTTTTGCTTCTTTCATAGGACAGTGGAAATTTTCCTCTGAGAGTGACCTTCACTGATGCTTTAGGATATAGTTGTAGTTAATAAGATGTCTACTGCTGCCAAAAGAGATCAGTCACATACCGTAGCAGATTTGAAAAGGCAGTGCAATGTTTTAACCAATAATCTTTGTAGTTATGATTGCTACAATAAAGACAATCAAATCTGTTGTTTCGATGCATAATCAGATGATGAAAGGAATTTTCACCCATGTACTTAGAAGAATTGGATAGATCTATTAAGAGGGGGTTTATTCACATTTCACTGAAACATCAGATTGTGGGCTGTTGTAGACAAAACACTGGTCTTCATGGACGAGTAGTATCACAAGGAAGATGGTGTGTATATGTGTGGGAAACTCCCATCTGTGAAACCATAAGCCAGCTGTAGGATAAAATAACTTGTTCAGTTTGTTTTTAAGCCATTAATAGTAAAAATTGATGGGCTAATTCAGTATGGGAAATTGGTTTGCAGCCCTTAACTTTTAAGCTGATTCTTGTTCTGGCAGAGGTGGAGAGCGTGCCTTAGAATCCAGAGAGTATCTTTCTTTGTGGGAGACTAAATTTTTGGCAGGAAGAATTTAGACTTAGACACATAGGCCAGCAGTTTCTGATTTTCATAGCTGTTGAGCACTTTATAGTTCACTTTGGCTTCATTGGAAGTAGTGGATGCTTAGTATCTTCGAAAATCAAGTCACTTTTATAAAGTTGCCTAACGGTGGAATTGAATGCTTAAACTGTATGAACATTTTGGGTTTGTTTAGATCACTTATTACTCGCAAAGCAGAATGGCTGGTAGTATTTACTTTTTCTGAAGTCTCCTTGGAATCATCTGTTTGCATATATGTTTGCCCTGGCTTTATCCTAACTGCTGCTGTTTCACTGACAGTGCAGCAAATAAATAAAACCTTTCTGTATTCATTTTACTGCGTTATAACAGAAATAGCCATACAACGGTGATATTACTAATGTTCTTCAACTATTCTCCAACTTTACTTGGGTTATACCAGCAAATTTACCTTCACCCCCTTCCTGCAGCAGTATTTCCCTTCCTCTGTTGTTCTTCTCTTTTACTTACTATGTCTTTATCATTTGGATATGTTGTCCAGCTTTGAGAGACAAAAGCTGATACTCGTACCTTACAGCTGAACCTGCCTGCATGTAGTTGAGGAATGAGATTTCCAAGTATGACTCAGCTTCTCCTACACACTTTTTAATGTGTATTGCTTTTTTTTCCAAGCAGGCTTCAAAGGTGGTTGGACCAACTCAACAAACATTAGAAAGTATGTCCAGCATATCAGGAACAGGAGGAGCCTTTTCAACTGCTGCCTCTCATTTACCTTCTGAAAGTGACAAACAGCAGCAGATACAGCATAAAGTGTACAATTCAGAGACTCTGACTACTATCCAAACACAGGACATTTCACAGCCTGGTAGCTTTCCAGCAGTCTCTGCTCCAAGCCAGTTGCAGAACAGTGATGCATTGTTGCAGCAAGCTGCACAGTTCCAGAGCAGAGAGTCTCAGTCCAGAGAGGTGTTGCAGTCAGACAGCACTGTAGTTACTTTGTCACAGCTAACTGAGGCTTCGCAGCAACAGCAGTCAACACTATCCGAACCAGCGCAGACACTACAGCAACAGATCTCCTCAAGTATTTTCCCATCCGCAAACAGCGTGAGTTCGTTTCAGAACACTATACAGCAACTGCAAGCTGGAAATTATCCAGCCAACGCTGCCAGTGGCAGCAGTGGAAATGTTGACTTGGTCCAGCAAGTCTTGGAAGCTGAACAGCAGTTATCTTCTGTTTTGTTTTCTGGGTCAGATAGTGAGGATGTCCAAGAACAACTCAATGCGGACATTTTTCAGCAAGTTAGTCAAATACAGAACAGTGTAAATTCTGGGATCTTTTCCTCGTCTGAGACAGTCCATTCCAGGCCAGACAGCCTTCTGTCTGGAAGAGCTGAAAATGTCCATCCTCCGCCTGAGAGCTCGCTGTCCAGTCAGCAGCAACAGCAGCAGGCAATGGAGACTTCTGCAGCAATGGTGATTGGAATGCAGCAAAATATGTGCCAGGGTGCAACACAGATGCAATCGGATCTCTTTTCCTCAGCAGCGCCAGGAAATGGAAACCTCCAGCAGCCCCCTGTTTACCAGCAAGCTTCCCACATGATAAGTGGGCTGTCAGCCAGCGAAGACATACAGATGCAGTGTGAGTTATTCTCCTCCTCTTCTGGTGTTTCTGGGAATGAAACTGGTACTACTGCTCAGCAGCAGGTCTCCGCTAATGGCTCTGCCATGTTTCAGACATCGAGTTCTACAGATGGAGAAGAAACTTCAGGACAGAATAAACAGATGCAAAACAATGTGTTTCAGACCATGGTTCCGATGCAACACAGTGGGGAAGGCCAGCCTCAAGTTAACCTTTTTTCATCTACGGAAAACATGATGGCTGTTCAGGCAAGTGGAACTCAGCAGCAGGGAGGTGGACTGTTTCAGCAAGGTGCGGAAATTCTGTCTATTCAATCAGGAAGTTTCATGCAGCAGTCCCCACATTCACAAGCTCAACTTTTTCACCCTCAGAATCCCATTGGTGATGCTCAAAATATATCCCAGGAATCACAAGGGTCTATTTTTCACAGTCCAAATTCAATTGTCCACAATCAGACCACTTCCTCTTCCTCGGACCAATTGCAGGCTCCGATGTTCCACTCCCAGAACACCCTGGGTGTATTGCAGAGCTCTTCTGTACCTCAAGACCAGCAATCAGCTAACATGTTCCTTTCCCAGAATGCAATGAACAACTCTGTAACTCAAGAAGAACAGATGTCATTCTTTGCAACACAGAATTCCATTTCTCCACTCCAGACAGCCACAAACACTGAGCAGCAAGCTTCTTTCCAGCAGCAAGCACAGATATCCCACATTCAGAACCCCATGATTCCCCAAGATCAACCCCAAGCTCAGCCCGCTCAGCAAGGTTTGTTTCAGTCGCAAGTATCAATAGGCTCCCTCCAATCTAGTCCAATGCCCCAGAACCAGCAAGGGGCCATCTTCCAGTCTCAACATTCAATAGTTGCTCTTCAGAGTAGCCCTCCAACCCAAGAACAGCAGCAGCAGAACATGATGTTCAGTACTTCAGATACCATGAATACAATTGCTTCTCAGAAACAGACCATGATTTTCAACCCAAATCAAAATCCGATCACTAATCAGGAGCAGCAGAACCAATCGCTTTTTCATGCACAGTCCAACATGGCACCAATGAATCAAGATCAACAGCCCATGCAGTTCCAGAGTCAAACTGTGACTCCACTTCAGAATCCTGGGTCCAGCCAAGCAGAGCCACAGCAGCCCAACATGTTCCATAACTCACCCCAGATTCAGTTGGTTCAAGGATCACCGGGTTCTCAAGAGCAGCAAGTCACCCTCTTCATTTCTCCAGCTTCCATGTCTGCCTTGCAGAATAACATGGGCCAACAAGAACTGCAGCAGTCTCCTATCTACTCTTCTCAGAGCAATATGACAGGCATTCAAGGAACAACTTCTGCCGCACAGCAGCAATCTTCTTTCTTCCACAATTCAGCAGTAAGTGCTATGAACAAGCTGCAGAATTCTTCTGCTTCATCTCAGCAGACTTCAGGAATATTCCTCTTCGGCATTCAAAATGGTAAGTAGTAAGAATTCTTGATTCTAATAGTATAGTTTAGAAAAACAACTACTTTGGAGGCTACCAAATTGTGTTTGTACAGCTCTGTAGAAGAGTAAAGTGCTAAGTGGTAATGGTTAGAATCCTTTGATTGAAAATGTTCGTTATTAAAGGCAGGAAGTAAGTAAATTATACCCTTGCCTTTGAAAAACTGTTGCATTCAGTGGAAGCTGCAAAAAGCTTGTGTGTGTGTATAAGCCAACACTTGCTTTTCTGATGGTTAAACTAGGGATGTCAGTGTGTAGTCGACTACGCAATTAATTGATATGCCTGGGCTTATCGGCTAATCTTGTCGACTACATGCATTTCCCCCCTTGCTGCTTCTGTGTCAGAGGCAGAAACGGGGGGAGGGGGAGAAGCCAGTGCCTGTGAGGAACTGGCTTTAAGCAGGCTCTCTACGAGCGCTGGATCTGCCTGCACCCTTCCATCCCTGCGCTGCTGCCTCTGATAGAGAGGCAGTAGCCTAGAGGGTGAGGGAAGGAGGCTGGAGTTGATACGTGCTTGGAGCCGGCTTTGAAGCATGCTCCCCATGTGTCCAGCTCTGTGGACCCGCCTGCCCCCTCCTGCTGCCTCATACAGAGGGGGGGCAGGCAGAAGCTGGTGCTAGCTCCCCCCAGCATCAGATCTTCTACAAGAGGTAGCAGCATGGGGGCACGGGTAAGGGAGGCTGCCACAAAGCAGCCTCTGTCAGCAGCGGCCTGGGCTCACCACGGACAGAGGCTGGTCCACAACAGCAGCCACTGTCTGAGATGAGTCCAAGCTCCTATGGACCAGCCCCCATCCATGGGGAGCTCAGACACCCGCAGACAGGGATTGCTGTCCTCTGGGAAGCTGATACAGTGGCAGCCATGTGGGATAGCAGTGGGCTCTCTGAGAATGGGACCATAGTGCACTGGCTGCCAGCCCCGCCTCCGAGGACTTTCAAATTTCATGTGATTAAACAACTTTTCAATTACATATGTCTAACATCCCTAGGCTATACACCCGATAAACATTTATCCAAAAATACCAAATATTCACTGTGACGCACTAGTGGTTGGAACAGGAAATGTGAAATCGGTGCTCAGTTAGACTTCATAGAAGTCTGAGTAGTTAATTTGTGTTTATACTTATATAGCAGTAGTAAAAGAACATGTTTTAAAAAGTCAGGGAAGTTATTTAAGAGCTTGTTAGTACCCCATATTTTCTGCCTGTGAAGGTGCTTATACACTCTAATCCAGAGGTGGGGAACCTCTTTTGAGTCAGGGGCCACTGCCCCCAGAAAAATAAGTCATGAGCTGCACACAGGTGAGAAAGAAAAAACCCCCACCCTCATTGACATTGCCCTGACAGAGCAGAAGAAAGATGCTCCCCACATTCCCCTCACACACCAGAGCCTAGGGGTGGCCCAGACTAGTAGATTGTGCGCTCCAGCCCCACGGTGTGGCAGCAGGAGGGCTGGAGCACCTGCACGGGCTTCCCAATGCTGGGGGGAGAAGCCCTGAGGCTCAGGGACCGGATTCAGGCAAGCCAGTGGCCGCATCCAGCCTTCGGGCCTGCGGTTCCCCACCCCTGCTCCAATCAAATCACTTTGGGAATATTCCTCTTTGGCATTCAAAATGGTAAGTGGTAAGAATCCTTGATTCCAATAGTACAGTTTAGAAAAACAGCTACTTTGGAGGCTACCAAATTGTGTCTGTACAGCTCTGTAGAAGAGTGAAGTGCAAAGTGGTAATGGTTAGCATCCTTTGATTGCAAATGTTAGTCATTAAAGGGATGTTAGACCTCGTTTTTTTAGGTTTACTGGATCTTTTGAAAAAGCCTTCCCTTTTCGAAAGAACTATGTCTAGATTGCGGTTTTACTTTCGAAATAGTGCTTTTTTGAAAGAGCGCCATGATGCAATTATGCAAATGAAGCTCAGAAAATTCAAATCCCAGCTTCATTTGCAATATCAAAGTGCCTAATTTACATCCCTCTGACGAAAGAGGATGTAGTCTAGACACACCCTGGATGTCCT